ATTTACGTTACTTTTAAGTTGTTCCTATAATTTAAAATGAAATGTTCCTCCAAAATTTAGTTGTGAAATAAATTATTTTGTATTTGTATTTGAAAAAAAAATAGATGTTCATTTAATTAAAGGTAAAAAGCTTCATCGAAAGCCGTGCCCTGGGGCATCATGTCCAGGATATTGGTGACATTTCCTTTTGGATAGCTAAGCTTATTCTTAGGCTGAAGCCACGACAGCCTTCTGACAGTTGAACAACCAGTCGGCATCACTTTAGAATATCGAACAAGCTTTATCCTTCGTTTGTGTAGCCTCAAGGGTCGAGAACAGTGGTGCTTCAATGACCACCTACGCTCACCTATCCACAATTACCTTGTCCACGGGTTCCTACTCCGCGTTCCACTGACCTAAATATACATTTCCACCAATCACAACGCAGGATGTCAATTGGTTAGTATTATTAACCAATCAGAGGCCTAGGCGTGGCATGGCAAAATGCCAGGCCGAGTGACTGCATCTTTTACGCCTAGCACTTGTTGATATCAGAAAAGGCGGAGACGGCTTTTAGTTTTCAGTTTATTTTTAGTGCAGCCGGTTCATTGGTAGGCTTATAAGCCAACTAGTGCAATGGATACGATAGGACAAGCTGTTACTCAGTCTCTTTGAGATTATTGGTAATAAAATCAAAAATAGGTCAGTAGGTCATCTTGAAATTCGTCGAAATCTTTCTTAGTGCAATTGGATTTTATCGAAAACTTCGATTGTTTACTAAACAGCTACAAATAAAATCTCAAGCCTGTCTCCCACTGAGGAAGGTAGAGACTATGGACCGCCTTTCGCCACGCTCCTGATATCTCTTTCGGTTCCACTCGCATCTTTCGTACGTTTTTGTACATCAATAACTTTTTAAAAATAAGACTAGAAATACAAAATGTTAACTTTAAACGCTCCGATAAATCTAATATGACATTCTTGGATACTTAAATTTTCGTAGAAACGAAAGTGAAGTTGACTGCTTTTTTTTCAGTTACATACTACTGTCTTCTTTAGTTGTCAAATTGGGCTTATTAAATTATGACAACTATAATGGACTAATTTCACAAAAAAAAAAATTGACATCAAGGTAGCAAAACGGCATGGTTTCAATATTTCAACTATAACTTCGTCATCTCTACTACGACCGTTTTGCCACAAGGCTGCTAATGTACAACATTAATAGTAATAATATTAATTAGAGTAAGTTTTTAGGCCATACTTAGGAGTCGATTCAACGTAATAACTTTTAGAAATTATTAGTTTTTCCCAATACATTTAAGAATTTATTTATGCTTGTGTTCTGTTTTTAAATATTCTGGTAATTTGTTATACATTCTTATTGACATACGATGACGTCCAGAACTTTATATTTTCATTTAAATGGTGTTTGTATAAGGTTGTAGGGGAATGTGATTTCAAAGGCCGTCTCCTACTTTATTGTTAGAAATCAGGGTTCTTTTGTTATAAATTTTCAACATGTACTTAATATACCTGGCAATGTTAATAAATTAAGTGTTTTAAGGTGCAACTTATAGCTTTCTAGTTGCTTTATATTTACTAGAATCCGGATATATTTTTTCGGTGCGATTAAGGTGTCTATACCACCTCAAAGGACTTTGGTTGATTCCGTATAACTGTGTTAAATCAATCACTTTGAGAAAAATATATAGTAAAATTGACGGTATACACTGACTATTATATGGTATGAAAATACGATTTCCTAAAAAATTTCACTACAGAAAAAAAGACACAAAGTCACCTCGAAATTTTATAAGAAAATCGCTTTCTTATTACTTTACATACAAGAAGGTAATTTTTTTTTATATCAACTGAACTAAATAAAACACGTATATTATACGATATGCATTTTTTAAAGCGCTTAATTTCGTTTGTAAAAAAAATAAATTCTGAAATAAAGTCAGTGTCTCTGCCGCAATGGAACCGATTTAATACGGGAAAAATTAGAATTCGAGAATTCGAGAACACTCCTAAACTTTACTGTTTTAAGTTTACCTTTGTATAAATTATTATTGTTCTTGTTTTCAATAAAATAAAAAAAAACAACAAAAAATTAGAGAAAGTAAACTAAATTCAAGAGGGCGATACGGTAATTTTATAAAATATGCATCCGATAATGGCTCGCTAAGAGCTGGTAAATTTCTGCAACAATACATTTACTGTCATAGAAATAAAAAAAACTTTACCTTATTCCTATACGTTAACAAAAGACAGCCCATTTTGCGGGTCGCAATAATAACTTGGTGTTGTTTTCCTGAGAGTAGGGGATATCTTTTTTGTTATATTTTGGTTTATAAAGACTCATCATTTATTTACACTACGATTGGACTTGACACAAAAGTAATATTTCGTAAAATTTTTGAGTAAAAGTCTTCGTGATAAATTAGTTATTGAGGCCATAATAGACCAGACTTACTTGCTCGTAATCCGTTTGTTAAATACTTTACGTATTTTCGGGTTTAACGAAACTTGTCAGAAAAAGGAGAACAGAGTATCAAACTCGCTTGTAACCAGTTGTTTACGAATTTTGTATATTTTCAACTTTTAGAAACTATGTTAGAACAAAGCGAACGTAATACATATTTAAAAAAAAAAGCTTCTTATTTGTTCACGTTTTCGTTCCGATAGGTCAACTTCAGTAATACCAAGATCGTATGAAAGGAGTAATGTAAATAGACGAAGCAAAAAAAGTAATGAATATGAGAATGAAAGCAAGTAAAAATCCATATTCCATAATTATATACTTCATTGGAAAACAAAATTAGTAATAAGCCAAATGTTAATTAAGTGTTCAAATATGTACTTGAAATCACAATATTCTCAACCAAAGTAATATTAATATAAACGCAACGAAACAGAGGCCCTATAACGTTAGCGAAAAAGCTAAATTAAATTGAAGTTGCTCTCATGTTAGGAAGACTATATTATGCCGAGGGATACGACGCATGAACAGTGAACGGAGATTTGAGATTTTTTATTGTTGTTTATATAGATTGATTAAAGACTGAGAAAATGTAACCTATAACTATTTACATTCACATTCATTGACGAAGCGAGAGATTTCTTAAAATATAGTAAAGTGTATGAAATTAAATAAGCGATCAAGTGTTATACAGACCAGATAAAAGTAAAAATGTACGTGACGTCTGATGTACAAGGATATTCAAAAAAGCGTGTAGCAGTAATACTTGGACGATGTGACGTGGTTATAAATTCACGAAGAGAAAATGACATATATACATATTATTTTCATCTATCTAGCTATCTATCAATAATAATCAAATTAAAATTCAAAATGATATTGAATGAAGTATACTTTCAAAATACCAAAGATTATCACAAGATACGGCTAAATTGTAATACACGTAAACGTACCGTTAACTGCAACCAAAGAAGCCATAATAAAAATCTACTAAGAGATGATGCGGCGCAATCTCGTCCATAGAATGAGAATGAAGACACATAATGCCCCGTGGTTTGGCTCTGTGCCTAGAAAAGATGCGCAATCTACCGCGACATTCTTTTACATAAACGGTATTATACGATATGAGGCACAAGACGTAGCGCGGCAATGATATTATACAGTAAGTAAGGAGGATTGCATTGTACGCATTCTAAAAGTGAAGCAAAACATTTTAGACGGACGTTTTAGATTTATTTAAGATGGTTATTTTTACTGACTATGTCTCTGTCACTATATACTTATAACTCATGATTTATAAGGAAAACACAATTCAATCTATAGATGATAAATTAATATTAGATTTTGGAAAGGCCTTCGATTTATTTGCTAACTTAAGAAACGACCGTAATAGTGCATAAAAAATAACAAAACAAATTTTCAAACTGTAAAATATCCAGGTATCATAGCTAGTAAATTTAAATTCACTGCAAACCTTAAGTAACAGGTCCTGACATTTTCTGTTGTGCCAGAGGACTCTACAATATAAATACGCGTGAGACTTAAACCACACAAAGGATTATATGCACGCCATTTGTTGAATAAAGCTATGAGGGTATGCAATTTTTAGTACTCGGTTAAGATTTCTCTAGGGATTTTCCATTGTAAATATTTTTTCCTTGAATCGTTTTAGATTGTGTCAGCGTGGTCATAAAAATTTTATTTCCCTATTATGTAGTGTTTTGTTTACGTAGATTTAAAAAATGATGATTTTCAAATGTTTTAATTACGTAAGTACATACTTAAATTCATCCGGCTACGCCTGTCTCCTACAACCATAGTAGGCACAGACAATGAATCCACACCTGCTGCGTTCTGGACGTACCTGTACCTCTTTTTTATTTGCATAAGTCATACACATGCGTTAATTGATTTTCTCTTGATTTTTTAAGATATCCTAAACCTGATTGAGATAAGTGACCTAAAGTTAACCTTTCTTCACAATTGCTTTTGCGTTCAGTCAATAAATGTATAATATGCCTTATTTTACTAGAATCCATACTTTCCACATGATTACACCATTGAAGCATTACGTAGACACCAAGCTCCAAAAACGAAATAAACCTTTAGATAGGAATGTATATATGTGCCATTTATAGCTAGAATAATAGACAGTAAGTGGTAACAATAACAATAATGCACACACTCAACATAGCCCCGCAGTAGGGGAAACCCCATGTCACGGGTGCCATGGAAACACACATAGACAATCATAAATTACACTCAAACTCTAGAGAGAAATAAATGTAGGCCATACAAATATTTCTCCCCGCCCGGAATTCGAACCTAAGGCGTCTGCGTGGCAGTCCGGCATGGTAACCGTTCGGCCACCGAGGCAGTTAAAATACATAAGTACATAAGTATTTTTCAGTATCTAAAGTCTCATTAATATGTTAAATATTGTATCTTCTACAAGCAGTAAAAAGACCTTTGTGTTTAGTAAAAAAGTATAATTCGTCATCAACTTACTTAATTTTTTTTTTCATTTTTAATAAAGGATCTTGAGCAGCAAAATAGCACCTTAAAAGCAGAAATAAATTCTTTCAAACGTCGCATAGAATCTATAGAAAAAATGTCCCGTAGCAGCAATGTCGAAATTCAGGCAGTTCCTGAAAAACGCTCTGAAAATGTTTTAACCATTGTGAAAAATTTATATACAACAGTTAACCTGCCGATGTCAGATTGTGACATTATTGCCTGTCGTAGAGTGGCTAAAATGTCTACTTCGTCTAATAGACCGCGCAATATTTTGGTAACGTTGCCGTCGGTGCGTCATCGAGATAATTTGATTTCATCAGTGAAGCGTTATAACAAAACTCATTCCAACGATCAACTAAACTCTGAACATGTAGGAGTGCCTGGAGAAAAAAGCAACATTTATGTGGCAGAACATTTGTCAGCAGAAACAAAAGAACTGCATGCAGCAACAAGACAAGCAGCTCGGGGCAAATATAAGTATGTTTGGGTCAAGTTTGGAAATATTTATGTACGTAAGGATGATAGCTCCCCTGTTATACTTATTAAAAATAAGGATAGTTTACTCAAACTAATGTAGAATTTGATATCTTTTTCATATTAAAATACTGTTATGATACGTGGTCTTTGTTACTTCCCTAATTATGTTGTTGTATTATCAAAATGTCAATCGTATGCGTTCTAAAACTGTGGATTTGTATTTAAGCTTACTAAATTTCGATTATGATCTTGTATGTCTGACAGAATCTAATTTAGATAGTAGTGTCTATAATGAAGAAATGTTCGATGGGCGTTACAATGTGTTTCGTAGGGACAGACTAAATACTAATTATAAAAGTCGGAAAAGAGACGGCGGAGGCGTTGTAATGGCTGTAAAAAAATGCTATGCTGTATCACGACAATCACACTGGGACAGTTGCTATGAGGATTTGTGGATTACTATTATGCCCACACGAGGAAACGAACTTCCATTAAACGTGTGTGTCTGTTATCTTCCACCGTATCTGGGAACTGCTGATCTTGAAACGTTTGTCTCCCACTGTCAAAAAAATATCCTGGAGTGTACTAATTCCGGCCCGTTCATCCTTGTAGGCGACTTTAATTTACCCGAAATTGATTGGTGTACTTCGATGGGTGTTGCGAAACATTGTGTGAGTGACAGTAAAAAAACATGTATTTTGAAGGAAATGATGTCTCTTTGCAATTTAATTCAATTTAATGATGTTAAGAATCAGAATGAAAGGATTTTGGATTTGGTTCTATCAAATGTTGTTGGTGATTTAAGAGTGGAAGAGACTATACCTCTGCTAAAGCTTGATGAACACCATCCAAGCTTACTTGTTTCACTTGATAGCTATAAACAAAAAAATGAGTATCTAAAAGCCAATAATGCGTCATTAAAGCCGAACTTTCATAAATGCAATTACGTTGAACTTAGAGCTCAAATTGGTTCTATTGATTGGTGTGAACTTTTAAAGAACATGAATCCAGATGAAGCATTGGACTGTTTTTATGATGAACTACAAAAGGCAATTATATTATTTACCCCATTAAAAAAATGTACTTCTTCACAATATCCATATTGGTACAGTTATAAACTTCGCCGCTGTTTACGCGAGAAATTAAAATATCACAAACGATATAAAATGTACGGCAATAAGAGAGATTATGACACATTTGCTCTTCTTAGATCTAGAAGTAAAGTTTTAATTACGGAATGCTACAGAGCCGTGCTTAATGATGTGGAACATAGTCTTGATGGTAATATGCGTGGTTTTTGGAAATTCGTCAATAGTAAAAAGTCAAGTATGGCTCTACCCCAGACCATGACATACAATAATAATACCGCATCTGATGCACAAAGTATTTGTGAGTTATTCTCACAATACTTTTCATCGGTTTATGCTAGTTCTAGTTTCCCTGGTGCCTCTCCGTATCAGGCATCTGATCGGTATAGTTCCACTCTTAGCAGAATAAACTTGACCTGCAATGACATTCTGATGAGCATGCGAAAGCTGGATACCATGAAAGGGCCTGGGCCTGATGGTATTCCAGCAATTTTTGTTAAGACTTGTGCCGAGGAGCTTTGTGTTCCACTGTGCATTATCTTCAATAAATCTCTGAGCACTGGCACGTTCCCACAAAGATGGAAAACTGCCTATATAATACCAGTTTTTAAGTCCGGGGACAAAACAAAATGTGACAATTATCGCCCAATAAGCATACTGTCTTGCCTGGCTAAACTTTTTGAGTCGCTGGTGTACATGCATCTATACAACCATGTTAAACAACTAATAACTCCGTCACAACATGGTTTCATCGCGGGCAGATCGACTATAAGTAATTTGCTTGTATATAAAAATTATATTTGTTCCGCTTTTGCCAATAGAAGTCAGATAGATGCAGTGTACACTGATTTTTCGAAGGCTTTTGACCGGGTAAATCATCAACTTCTGTGTTCAAAGCTCTCGGCTTATGGGATTCACGGCAGTTTACTTAGATGGTTTGAATCATATGTTACCAGACGTAATCAGATTGTCGCTATAAGGGGTCATCTGTCGGTACCCTCTCCGGTTCCCATGGGAGTTCCCCAAGGTTCTCATCTTGGACCATTAATGTTTAATATTTTTATAAATGATATTATTGATTGCATTGACAGTTGTTGCCTTTTGTATGCTGATGATATGAAATTATTCCGTACAATCACGGGAACTGGTGATTGCCTTGCCTTACAACGTGACATTGATGCTGTTTCAGAGTGGTGCACTAGGAATTGCTTGGACCTTAATGTAGCAAAGTGTTTTGTTATCACTTTTACGGCAAGACACTCCGCTGTTCAGTATGATTATACTATAAAGGGACAGCATTTGAAGCGCAGTGAAGTTGCGAAAGATTTAGGAGTGTACTTTGACTCAAAATTAAATTTCCATACACATTACAATTATATTACTAACAGAGGGTTTCAGATGCTGGGCTTCATCATTCGTGCTTCGAAGGGTTTTAAGAAACCTCTAACCATGTTCCGGCTGTACTACGCTTTAATTAGGCCAATATTGGAATACGCTTCAGTGATTTGGTCACCATTCTATGATGTTCACTCGCAAACTATTGAACGAATTCAAAAATCATTTTTGAGATCAGTTTGTGGTAGATTCGGTTTACTGAGGCGTCTGCAATCATATGCCACTAGGATTGAGTATTTTAAGGTGCCGTTATTGGAAAAAAGGCGAGATTTTAATGAACTTATTTACTTGCATAAAATTATACATTCTGTGGTGGATTGTCCTGAGCTTTTAAGCCAAATTAATTTTAATGCCAAAGTACGTCTCAGGGTGCCGCGAATTTTTCGCCTAGAAGTATATAAAAATAATACTTCTTTCTATAATCCCATAGTAAAAATGTGTCGAGCTTATGATGAACTTAAGCAGGGTAACGCTCATCTGGACGTTTTTAATTCTAAAATATATTTATACAAGAAGCAATTGCATGTATCGCTTGAATTTTAACTTTTAATAATTTTGTGTTGTATTAAATGGTTATTATGGATTATGAAACAAATCACTCTGTAATTTTTATTAATTTTTTTTCGTTTAATATTTTATTCTTTTGCATTTTGTTTTCATTTCGTAAAATTTTGTAAAATGTACTTTTTAAATCATGTTACTTGCTAAGAAAATTTTATCATGCTGTGTACACTGTTTTTTTGGAATGTGATCTAGTATATTTATGTATTAAGTTGTATATGTTACCAATGTGATGATTACATTCTGTTTGTGTACCTTATAAATAAAATAAAAATAAAATAAAATACTTTTTATAATGACTGTCCGTTTTTCATTTCAGAACAGTTGTAATTTCAGTTTAACAAAAATTAGATTAAAATATATGCTTATTAAAATCAAATAATGACACTAATTCCGTCCATCTCCCACGTCGAATAAAAAAGATCAATAACAATATTCATTTTAATTAACATCGGATCCGAATGTACGGACAAAAGACGGCCGGATATCTGCTAAGGGGAGGCTAGGTCATTCACACCGCCCAAACACAACTCCCTCACCCTGGCACAGGAGGACGATACGACTGCGACCTTAAAATGTACTTCGTTGTATCAACCTATAAACATCCCGTAATCGAGCTTGGGTATCCTGTAAGAAGAAGTGCAACACCCTGATCTTGAATTTGTCGAATGGCTTTATGCTTCTTATCTGGCATTTAAGTTTCTGTATCATTGCTTACCTTCCTTTTATCATCATCATCGACCAGTCTTCTCTAAGAAGTTTGTTCAAGCCATAATCTGCCATGCTAGTCCAATGTGGATCGAAAACTTTACATCCTTCGCAGTGAGGTATTGTCCCTAAATATTCACAAATGTACGAAACTTGTAAATTGAAATCATAAGTACTGCCATAAGGATTTTAAGTATCCGTTCTCCAACTGGCCTACTTCTGCTCTTTTTATTCCTTATTTTAATACTTATTGAGACTATAATCATTAAATCCGTAGTGTGTAAAGAAGATCCGAATTTGAATTATTCGGGCGTTCCTGTACTGGTGCCGGGAGCATTGACAAAGGTCATTCATATTGTGCGCCGCGCTTGACCGTCCTCAGTAATTCCGATTACGTCTATTCCTGTCTGCTACGTGTTTATTTCCTTGGATCTGCCTATATACAAGTTTATCAATGCCTTTTAGAATGTAGACTTAAGGGTGAATAAATACGTGTAGTGCGCATTTTTATAAGTATTTTGAGTTTGAAAGTAAATATATTGGCATCTTTTATAATGAAGTGATTTAATTTGAAAATATTATGTTTTAAGCTGACAAAACTATTTTTATACCGGTGGCTAGAGCCAAATATGACAAAGTTTTGGTTAATATAAAAAACGATATCATTAAATACTTAGTTATATTTTTAATGTATTTTGTAAGTTCCTAAATATTTAGCTCATCTAACTATGACACTTTACCACCACATTGTTGTACTAAATTACTGCATTTCTAAACTATATCTCATTCCTGTAAATTGTATAAGATATCTCCTAAATTATTAAACACGAACCCGGTATCAAATAGCGGCATGTAATCGTATTAGCTTGCATGACACATCATACATGTACTGTATTAATAGGGTGTTACATAAAAATATGGGTTAATTTGTTGGAAACGAAACTATTTTTTTCAAATTTAAAATTATCTATATCTGTTTCTTCAAACAAATCGACGTTTTGGGTTCTTTATATGGCTTATAGTTAAATATAAGCGGTAATTTATATTATGTTTGGAGCTTTTACAATTAGGCCAAGCTTATTTAATACTTTTCAGTTTGTTTTTCTAGTTCTTCAGTACTTCTTCTTGAAGAACTTTACTTTGTTTAGCAATTTTGTAAAATCATTTACGTAATAGATTACCAATACGACTTTTAATATCCCATTGCTATTTTTTTTTAACAATACAGAAATGTATAACCCAAAAACGTTAATTTCCAAGTCAATTATACTAAAAACGCAGAAGACGCCATGTTTTTTGTTAATGGTGGATTGAATAACTTCTGGGTAATTACTAGTACATTCTATTGTCATTCTTAAACATGAACAGATTAACGAAATGTTACATTTTAACGCATATTACTTAAAGTTAATTAACTACGCTTTCTCTCTATATTTTTACTATTACCATTACCGTAAACATTCCAGTTTATAAACTTAATTACAACCATTCTGAACACCCCATTTCAACATACACATATACAGACTAATACACACGCAGATATATCTACGTTGATGACGTTGATGACAGCATTGTGGCGGCTTAATCATATCTAGGGCTCATTAATTATTCTCCAGGGACGGGCAATGAATGGATTATTGTTATTTGCATTTGTTGTTGAAGATACAGTTGTATACGGTAGCGGGAATGTCGTTTGAAGTGCTTAATGAATTTGTATTTAATTGAGTAATAGGTTTCATACAAACGATATTTTTATATTATGTTGTTTTTTTAAGAAAACTGCATGTGCTTATCTTGGTTGTTGGATGTTGTTGGTAGTTCTTGAAAGCTTATTTCTTCATAATTTAACGTACCTGAAACAAAAGTAACAATAAGTGAATTAGACATTTATTACTAAAGATACAAACTATTTTATAAATAAATTGTAGCTATTTTTTCATTTTAAATGATGTTATTTCAAGTAAGAAAAGAAACAGATTGGACACAAAATATGTTCCTTGTAGCACTCTTAGATATTTATACATTTATAAACTTTAAATT